TCATCATTTCTTTTTTTTTTTTTTTTTATCGTTTCATTGTTTTTTAAAATGTTTCTTTTTTATATTCTCTATGTTTTATTATCATTTATCGTGTATTAATTTATTTTTAATAGTTTTAAAAATATGTTCATATATGCTTTCATTTGTAATATTTTTTTTGAAAATCCAAAGTATGTTTTTTTTCTCCTTTTTACTTCTAGTTTACACTAATCAAAGATATGATAATTTCAAATTACACCAAATTTCTTTTATATTTATGATAATTTGTTATAAATATTATGATCCTTATTTCATGTATTTTATTATTTATTTCAATTTACCCTAAATATTACATTTCCTATACTATATTAGTTATAAATATATATGACGTTGTTAAATATTATTTTATTTTTTTATTTAGATTTTTTTCGTTTTTTTAATTTATATATTTTTGAATATTGTTTTATTTTACAAGTTCATAATATCTACGAATAAAAAAAAAAAAAAATAAAATAAAATATAAATTTATATTTTAATTTATGATATTTCACTAAAAATGTAATTACTCAATGAATTATTTTAAGAGTTAATTATATTAAACCTAATTAAATCATTTTCATACTTCAAAAAAATTATCATTACATTTCTTTATAAAAATTTTTATAGAACAAAATTTTTTTGGAGCAATTGATTTTTCTCTTTTTTATTTTTTTTTTTTTTTTTTGAGAAAAAATATAATTACATAATTAAAAATTATTTTTTTTATTTAATTTTAAAGCTCAAAAATTAGTTATATTTTTCATTGTTTTTTTTTTTTTTTTTTTTTAAATATATATGTTTTTATTTTGAAATGTAAAAGATACAATATATAAAAAAATAACTAATTATATAAAATATGCGTAAATAATTAACAAAATGTTAAAATAAAAAGTATTTTATTAAATTACATATATATGTGAACAGAAAAAAAAAAAAAAAAAATTCATAATAATGGAGTAATAATTAGAAAAAAGTAATATTTCGAAAAAATTTTTTTTTTCAAAATAAAATACTCCTAATCCATTTAAAAAACAATTTTTCATAATTTAAAATATAATAAAACAAAAAGTAACTTTTTTATTTTAACACATTTTAATAGAAATTTTGTTTCATTTGAAAGAAAAGAAAAATTACTTAAATTTACTTTTTACCTATTCACTTTTAGAAATTTAATTTATAGAATAAATATATAAGATCCATTTATTTAAAAAAAAAAGAAAAGAAAAGAAATAGGACAAACAAAAAACAGTATCACTAAAAATATCTGTAAAATTTCAATTAATTATCTATTTACAAACATACAAATATTGTAGAAAAATGAAAAAATATCATTAAGGAAGATATCATGTTTTCTTTTTACCTATCTCTTCTTTTTTTCTAAATTTCTTTTTTTAGAGTATAATTTTAACTATATTTTATATATAAGATTTTTTATATAAATATTATATTTTAGCTTATAAATAAAAGTGAAAGTAATAATGTTGTATCCTTCTTTTCATAAAATAGATAACTTAAAGAAAAACAATAGAAATCTTATTTAAAAAAGTAATGGAAATTTTTAAAGTTTAATTAGCATAAAAAAATAATTTTCAGCTAATATGTTTTTATTTATTAATAATTTTTTATTTTCTTATTAATCAAAATTTTTCATAAACTTTTTTTTTGATTTTTTCTAATTTTACCGTATTTAAAAAACGTATTTTCTAATATTTTCATATTTTATTATAAAAGACAGAAAATTTTTTTTAAAAATTAAATAAATGCTTTTTAGAGATAATTATTGAATTCTATATAAACTCCTTTTTTTAAAATAATTACAATATAATTATATTAAATTTACATATATTTTCATATAAAAAAGTTTTAGAGAAATCTTTATACAACAATTAAAAAAAAAAAAAAAGTATACAGACATAGTGTATATACATTCTAAATTACTTGTTACATAATTTAATTTAATAAAAACATCTTTAATTTAGACTTTATATTTAATTAAAATAACTCTCTAATCAATTATTTTTTAATTATTTGATATACATTTGTTCATTTAAAATTATTTAACCATTTTTAAACTATTTCAATTGTCCTTTTGTTTTCATTTTTTTTTTTTTTCATATTCTTTTATTCTAATTTATAAGCACTCAATTTTAAATAAACATATTTAAGAAACATTAATTATATTCTATATTGTTTTAAAAAAAATGTATTTTAAATACAAGGGTATTTTTTTAATTTTTTTAATAGTTATAATAAATTGTTTTAATAAAATTTTTCTATATACTCACGCTTTAAATAACAATAAAAATAAATCAAAAAATATTCTAAATATAACTAACAACAATAATGAATATAATGATTTGTCATCATTTAGTGAAGAATTAATAAAATCTTTTTCTTCTATTTTAAAAAAAGTTCCTTTAATAAGTAAATACAATTAATTTCTTTTCATTTATATAAAAGAAAAATAAAAATATTATAATTCAAATGTTCCTATTAAGTAAATTTACACTTAAAGAAATATACATATATATATATATATATATTTTTTTTTTATAGTACTTAAGGAAAAAGTAAAAAATCAAATAATAAAAGCTTCTGATAATTTGAATCTACCAAATCCAGATGAAGAACTTTGTGAAATTAATTATTCTGAATTATGTCCAGAAAATTGGGTAAACTTTGGTGATGGTATAAATTGTTTAAGTCCTATTAATTACAAAGGTTCTTGTGAAAAAAAAGTATCTTTTAAAAATGCAACACCAATAAGTAAATATAAATTTTCGATAGAATGTAATGTATCATGGCCATGTGTTGGAAATTGTATAGAAGATTTTTCAAAAATATGTCCAGATAAATGGATACTAAACAAAGATATTTGTGAAGCATCAGAAAATTATAATGGGAAATGTGTAAAAAAAAAAAGTTTTTCAAATTATTCTGAAGCAGAAAAAAAAATATGGGGTGATGAATGTAATGTAAATTGGCCATGTTATGATAAAAATTATGATTTCAATGTTTCATGTCCTATTAATTGGAAATTAAATCCTGACCATAAAAGTTGTTCATCTCCTGATTCTTATATTGGGCCATGCGCAAATATTCTATATTTATATGATTTAAATGAAAAAGAAAAATTATCTTTAAGAAGAAAGTGTAATATTGAATGGCCAATTCATACAAAAAACGAATTTGATTTAAATTCATTATGCCCTATAGGTTGGAAAATATCCGACACTGAGCATGTAACCTGTAATGCACCTTTATCATATAATGGTCCATGTGAAAAAAAAATATCCTTTGAATATTTCAGTAAAGAAGAAAAATATGAATTTTCACAAAAATGTGATATACAGTGGCCATTATTAGATGAAAAATTTCAAAATTTTGATTTACCTTGTCCTTATAATTGGGTTTTAGTTGACAAAGAAGAAAATATATGCGTATCACCTATAGAGTATCAAGGACCATGTGAAAATATTTTTTCTTTTAAAAACTACACAAAAGAAATGAAATCTGCTTGGTCTTTTTCTTGTAATACTGTTTTTATTACTGGAAATGCAAATAATATCGAAGAAATAAATAAACATAGAGAAAATAAAACCACAAAAAGTAAAAAAATATTTGGTATAATTAAACGGAACACATTTAATTCAAATCCTTCCATTAATAACGGTCCAATAGGTTATAAAGGATCCTTATATGAAGGAGAAGTACTAAATGCTGATAATGAAATAGAATACTTACCTAACAAAAATAATTTAAAATATAGTAATAAAATAATTGAAATTGAAGATATTGGAGATAGGAATGATAAAAATTTCATTTTAACAGATGAGAAAATTAAAGATTTGATTTTATTAAAGGAATCCTCAGATGACGAGGAATTTCGTACAAGCATAGATGAAACTATAAGGGATCTAAAAAAAAGGTATTCCAAAGAAGCTTATTTTTCGTTTATTGAAATAAATAAATTCAATAAATTATATAATAATAAATTAGAAGAACGATATAATTTAAAAGAAGATATTTGTTTATACAGAAATGAAAGTGAATATGATGATGAAAATAAATACAATTGCAAAGATGAACATGAAGATAAAGGTCAAGATGAAAATGAAGAAAATAAAGAAAATGAAGAAAATGAAGAAAATGAAGAAAGTGAAGAAAATGAAAGTAATATTAATAAAAATGATTTCATTGAAGATGATATATATGAAAGTAATATAGGAGAAAATTTATATGAAGATAACATAATTGAAACACAAAACTTATATGAAAATTATAAAATTGAAAATGATAATTTTTCTTATAATGATATATGTCTTGAAAAAGACTATACAAAATGTCCAATAGGGTGGACTCAGATAAATAATAAAGAATGTCTAGCTCCCAAATCTTATATAAGAAGTTTAAGAATGTGTAGCTCCATATTAAATATAGGAGATATAGTAAAAAATGTATATGATGTCACACATAATATGTCTTTTGTAGTAAATGACATAGAAGAAAGAAAAAAATTAGAGAAAGATTGTAATATAAAATTTCCTTGCAAGGAATGTGAGAGAGATTATGTTCGAATAAATTGTCCTTTAGGGTGGACAGATATTGGTGATGGAAACTGTAAAGCACCTAATGACTACCCATTTTACTTAAAAGAATTGTGTAATACTGTAGTTAATTTTAAATATGCTTCTCCAACATTTAAAAGAAATTGGAGTTTTTTATGTAAATCTGACTGGCCTTGCTTTTCTGTATGTGAAAAAAACTATGGTATCATTTGTCCATTAGGCTTTAAACTTATCAATGAACGAATAGAAAAAAACGGTGAAAACATTTATGTGTGCTCTAATGAATACTGGAAAGAATATAATAACACTGATTTTGATAATCAAATAAAAAGAAATTTATGCCATGTTATTGAAATATACAATAGTACTATTTTAAAGAAAGAAATTGAAAGAAAATGTAAAGTTACATGGCCATGTTTAAATAAATGCGAAGAAAATTTTTATCAATCATGTCCATATAATTGGCTTTTAAAAGATAATAAATGTATTGCACCATATTATTATATTCCACCAAAAGGATGCAAAAACTCATTTGATATTTTAAGTTTTAATATTTTTGACAAATATCTTTTTTCAAATAAATGTTTTGCTCCTTGGCCATGCAAACATTCTTGCCAGCAAGATTGGTCTAGTGTTTGCCCAGATCAATGGATATTAACAAAAAAAAAAATAAATAACAAAAAAGATACTAGATATTTTTGTAAATCTTCTGATAAATACAAGGGAATATGTAATGATGAGTATGATTTAACTTATTTCACTTTTTTGCAAAAACAAGATTTTTCTTTTAAGTGTAGTGTTAAATGGCCTTGTGGAAGCTCCTTGCATCATTCACAAAATTGGCAAAAAGAAAATATTTATAATGATATGAATTTTAAGAAACTAAATACTCTTAGATTTTATAATCCCTATTATTTATCTAATTATATGAAATATAAAAATTCTTTTTTTTAAAAACATTATGTATAAAAAAAAAAAAAAAAAAAAATTATATGGTTATTATTAAGAAATATAAATTAAATATTATTAACATTTATTTTAATAGAAATACAAATATTTCCTTTATTTTTATAAAATATTTTTATTCTAAGAATTTTAGACAATAAAAATATACAAGCCAAAACATGTAGATATATGTGTTTTTTCATATGTAAATACATATATTTTTATATATTGATATATTATTATTTCTTAAAAATATTTTATATTTTCCATACAACATTAATAGTAAAATGGAATTTTTATTTTTATTTTTTTGTCAAATGTAAAAGAATAGCATCTTATTTTAATCTTATTAAGATATATATAGTAGAAATTTATTAATATTATTTGAATAATACAATAACTTTTTTTTTTATTATTATTTTATGTACTTATAATGAACATGGAATAATTTTTTTTTAATTTTTTTTTTTTTTTTTTTTTTTTTTTTTTTAAAAAAANGAAAAATTTTTTTTTTATTTTTTTTTTTTTTTTTTTTTTTTTTTTATTACAGGAATATATTTTAGTTATTTATTTTTAAGCTAACACTTAAATATTAATTTGTAAATTTATTTTTCAAAATAGAAAATACTATTTATATAACCCCATTAATATAAAACTATAAAACATGTAATAACATTTTTTAAAAGTAATAAAAAAAAATAATATTTATAGAATAAATTTTTTGAATTATTAATATATAAGTTTTTATTATAAGAAAATATATTATAAACAAACTTAGATATATGTTTACTTACAATTTCTATATCCGTATTATTTAAGTATTTTTTTTTTTTTTTTGTTAATTATATTAGTTCTTATATTCAATAAGAAAAATTTTATATGAACTCTTATCTTTATAGGAATATTGCATTTAAACTCAATATATAAAAAAAAAGTTTAAATAAGTTAATTCTTTTATAAATATTTAATAAAAAAAAAAAAAAAAAAAAAAAAAAAAAA